TTGAACACTGGCCTAGTTTAAAGAACTTTCCCCATATTTTGTCGACTGGTTGGGATTTTTCAATACTATTTAAATTATAAAAAGCATGTAGATTTTCTTCAGGGAGCTTATTTTCATCAGCAATCATTTGCATTTTATACAGGTCGCAAAGGACCCCGCACTTTTTACATTGATTTTGTTCGAATTTTAGTATGTTATTTTTCAGGTCATTGCCGGCAACTTTCTTATGGACCTCAAGTTTGCAGCTCTACAAAGTGTATGTATGAAATACAGAATTATTATTTTCATATATATCTCTACTACTCTTAAACAATTTATGTTTTTTTACTATGAAACTTATGGCACGTCGTACACTTGTATATAGTTTGTTAATGCTCACTTGCACTTTGTAAAATAAATTATACAGATTGTTCAAAAAATTAGGAATATCAGTTACTAAAATAAGGTACATTTTTCATGTATTACTATAGCTAAAATAAGACTTCTGAACATTTTTTTTATACCTGGATAATTTATAAGTAATACTTATATATACTTATAAGTATTACTTATAAGTGACAGAACTACATAAACAACTAATAATTACAAAAAAAAATACATTTAGCCAAAAAACTTGGAACACCTACCTAAAATATTCTAGAAAGAATCTTGAAGCGAAATTAATTTTGCATGTATTATAATCTCTAACCATATCCTATTCTACGTCTTCTTTAATTTCGAAACACTACTACTAACCCTCACTTGAATAAATGATTCAGAAGACATATTCTAATAAAAAAGTAATTCCTGATACAGATGTCAGTCAGTCAGTCTTCCACTATTTAAATTTTTGTAGATTTAGTACGTTAAGGCTAGTTAAAATAGAACCATATAAAAAATCTTATACAGTTTTCGTAGTAGTAATTTAATAAAAAAATTCCTATTATAAATACTGATATTTAATTCTGGCCAATTCTTACTGATTAGCTATTCCACACCTCTGTACATCAAGCAGGGTCGAAAACAATGAATTTGTTTTTCAGTGTAAACAATTTGAACCTACATTATTGCGGTGTCGAATCAGTGGCGTACCCAGATATGGATCTTGGGGGGATAACAAAATTGAACATGGAACAAATTTTTATTAAAAATTAGAATATTCTATTTTATAAAACAAAATCTAGACGCCTAGTCCAGGAGCTGATACCTTAGGTTTGTTCCAACAACGATCAGAAACCAGTCATTGCCACTATGATTCTGCGCAGTAGATCATTAAGACCTCAAATTATATACTTTGCAGAATCCTGTTGCCAATGAGTTATTTTGGATAGTTGTTGGAACAAACCTGATATCGTCATCGTAGAGTCAAAACCTCGTATCATATAATTACCAGGTTTTCAGGAAACACTAAAAACACTTTTTTTTCTGTAATTGTTAATTTTGTTAAAGTAGTTTTTTTATGTAATAGTAAAGGCAAGTCAAAAATATTCCAAATGGTTAAAGATTTACACTTTTAAAATTAATCTCTCTAAAAAAAAAAGAAAATTACATTCAGTTATGCCAAAATATGAATTACGAGGTTTGACTTTAAAGTGCCGCGAAAACTCCTCACAATTTTGAGACAAATTAAATTACTTCTAATACCTGTATTATGTATTTGATTTAGTAATTAATATAAAGCGATTTAGAGGTTTCTTACTCTTAGTTTTTCTTACGGTTACTCATTACTTTGATGATATGTGTGAGTTTGCGGACGTGCTGGGACTTCCTGGGGGGAAATCATATTATCACCCCATGAGTACGCCACTGTGTCGAATATTTTCAAAATTTTCGAATAATCTAAAGCACATATTATTTATAAAGTATAATGAAATTCAAGGGTATTACTGTACATGTGAGACTGTTGCAAGAACTATAGGCACGTGTGCTCATATTTCCAGTATTTTGTAGTACCGTAAATATGTCCTACTTTGCCCAGATAATTCTAATTTTTTTAATATATTTTTTTTATTACTTGTTAACTATAGCTGTAAAATTATCTAGAGAAATAGCAAAGTGTTACCAATATACCTGATTATAGTTACGTATTTACAAAAAAAAAAAAATATTCAGGAAAAAAAAATAAAAGGGTGATGGGCAAAGTTGTACTGGTGAGAATCAACTTTGTCCGGCCGTAAAAAAGTGTTGCAGTGCCAAGTTGAAAGCATAATAAGACAACTTTGCCCACGTTTAATGTTTTAAGAAAGCATTTTTTATTTGAAAAAAAATTAAACAAATTTAATTTTCGATATTTTCTTTATTGAACAGTAGGAAAATACAAAACAATACATTCTTAATTAAAAATTGAAATAGAAAACAACGTAAATATTTTTTCTTCTCCTTCCAAATGTAATAAGGAACTTTGATCCTATAATCTAAGACAGTCAGGTTATATTAATTCTATAACAGCCATTAAAAACTTAAAAAATCCTCTAAACAGCCTTTAAAACACAGCCTTTCAAAACAAGAAACAAAAAATTAAAGGTTAAAGGAACACATATTCCCTTGAAAAGAATAATATCCTCTTCGACTTGTAGTTGGTTTCGACAAAATCTTCATAATGTCTACGAAAGTAACGTCTGATATATCATCAATAACGGGAAACGAATATACTTTTTCACTTTTTCTAAGAAATTTAGTTCTAAAAATGTCATCAGTCTTAGATATTTCAAGAATAGTTTCAATAAAGTGTCTTATGGTCTTCTTTGTTGGAAATTGAACCACAATAAAGGAACCTACTTTCAAATTAATTGGGTCTAACACTGGATCTATATTTTCAATATTGTCCAGAAAATCTGTATTTAAGTTTTTGTTTTCGTGGTTATTTAAATCAGCCTCAATGTCACTCATCTCCAAATTGCTTTTTCTTCATTACAAACTTGTTCAGGACTTTCTTTTTCAAAATTATCTTCTTCAGAAGAGGTAGAAACTTCATTAAACTCTTCACACTGAACGGATTCTCCAGGTTTAATATTATTTAAAATGGCTGCATCGAACCACCCCGATTTTGAACGATTGTAAAAGGTTTGAGGTGGTCCACCAGTAACCCATCTATCGTACAGTCTTTCGGCTTTATATACCACGTACAATGGCAATCGCTCTCCACTTGCAGTGGCTGCAAACATTAGGGAAATTGCACTTTTTGTTGAATTCATATGTCGCTCAGGGTATTTTTTACCACGTCGAAAAACACATTTTTTATTACCAGGGTCGTCCGTCAGATTAGTTTCGTCGTAATTGAGTATGTTCTGAGGTTCAACGTCTCGAAGAGAATTTTTTAAATTGTTAAAATATTCTTCCATAACTTCTTCTGTATTGGCAGCTCTTGTTCTTTTAACATTTTGACAGTGTATATTGGTTAAAATGTCTTTATAACGCTTCACAAAAGCATGTACCCACTCGCAGCTTGGAAGATTGTCATTTGGAAAAAAAAAGAACTCGAATCCCTCTGGAATCTACATACTGCTTCACCAGCATTCTAATCTCCATATTCTGCACTAGCGATAACTACCTCAACAATATGACGCTTTTCTATTTCAGTTAGAGCCAAGGGATGGCCAACTTGACCTGCATGTTTTCCCTTCTTTTTATTTAAAATAGTACGACGGGGCACCTTAAACTGTTTTTCTGCGTCTCGAGAACTCATACCATTATTCACAGCATTTACGGCTTGTTCTAAAACTGCTTGTGTGTAGCGTTGGTAGGGTCTAGCATCTAACTTTTTTCTGTTGCGAAATGGCATCTTTATATCTGTAAATTAAAAAGAATATAAAAAATTTATATTATAACATATTTAGTTACAAATGTACCTATAATGTTTAATGTTGTACCTAACTAAATATATGAGCAACATTGCCAATATATGGACAACATTGCCCAGTTGTATTTTTTCGTTGATAAAAAAATCTATTACAGTTTTAACGCTAGTAGACAACTAAATCTGTTTATAAGGCCCTTAGTAATACCTATCACAAAAATGGAATAAATATATCTAATAGTGGAGGTACAGCAATGCTTAGCTTTTACCCCAAAAAACGAGGGAAATTACGTAAAATGCTCTTACCTTACATGAAGCAGCAAACCATACCACACAACGGCCAAAGTTTTACTAAGTTAAATTTCGACCGTTAGGAGCACGCGGAGCTTGTTTTGGTCTATGTACAGAGTTGCCAAGAGTCAATTATTTTTTATTATTTTTACTTTGACAGCGGGCAAAGTTGATCTCGCTGGGCAAAATAGGACATATTTACGGTACCTAGGATACGCACCTATATAAAAATAATATAAAGTACCCTTCATGTGTTTATTTTAGATGCTGCTGAAAGATGAGTCAGATTTTGATGGTGTAATTGGTTTATATTTAATGTATGTAGTAAAAGTTTTTTAAATACAGTTTCTTTTATTGATTTATAATTTAGTGGTAAGTCTAAATATCTATGTAAAAAAATACTATTATTTGTACTATAAATTATAATGTATTTTTGTCACACCCTGTATTATTAATAAATATTATCTAATATTTAATATAACAAATAAGCTATCAGAAATAATGTTCTTATTATGATAATACATGAAAATGCACCTTATTTAAGTAACTATTATTTCTAAATTTTTGAACGCTCTGTATGTTTTATTTTACAAAATACCAGAAAGCAATAACAAAATATATATAAGTGTAAGAGGTACCATAAGTTTTATGGAAGAAACATGAATTACTTGGGAGTAGTAGAGATATATATGAAAATATTAATTCTATATTTCACACTTTTGACTCCTTCTAACAGCTCACCCTGTAGAGCTACAAACTTGAGGTCCATAAGAAAGTTGCCGGTAATGACCTGAAAAATAACATACTAAAATTTAAACAAAGTCAATACCCAAAATCAATGTTAATCAAATTATTTAATGATGGCGGAGAGTCTTGAAGAGAGGATGTTTAGACATTTTAGCTTAATGTCGTTAAAGTCTATTTATTTTTACAATTATTCAATTGCTGTTTTCCAGAAATTATCTGCTTCCCTATTAAATCGTTTAACATCATTAACACGATCGCAATTTTTCATTATCGACCTCGCAATTGAACCATAAAATTTTTCATTTCTGCGTTCGGTTAGAGAAATTTTTATATTGTTCATTATTTTATACAGTTCTAAAATAATAGGCTCGTCACCTTGTAATTTTTTTAATGCAGGTTGAAACACTTGAAATATGTTCTGAATAAAACCAAGATAGGCTTCACTTAAATCGTCTTCAAAAAACATGCGAAGGTGTAGTGCAACGTGATTTTTGCTAAGAAAGTAGGATTTTATTGCAGTAAAATTTCGAAGAAGCTGGTCAACGGCAGGCAGCAGAGATAGCCTCCTGTTAACGGCGTGACGTAGTAGTTCACTCCATTCCATATCCATCCAATCGAAAAATTCTTTTAATTGTTCAATTCCTAAAGTGGGTTGACTCAATTCATTGTATATTTGTATTTTCGATGTCATATTTTAGGCAACTGCAAGCTTTTCTTGCAGCGTTGTGACAAATATGAGCATTGCAGTCCATAGCAAGAATAGCGTCATTAGATTTTTTCAAAGACGTGTACACACTTTTGTTTACACCAAAATTAACACTTGCGTTATCGGCTCCATAGGCGGTGACAAAAAGTTAATTCAGCCATCGTAACTTGATCCTCTTTACCCCCTTTTTTCGAAAAGAAATCAGTAACCCTTTTTGAAATACTTGCGACACTTAAAGCTGATAAATGTCCTTTACCTTTTAAATAAAGTGTAACATCCCGTTCCCCTCCATACCCGATTGAAAACTCTTTGTTACATGATATGCACTTCACTTGGTTTTCATTTCTACCTTTTTTAAATGTTTGAAATTTTGATAGCCAATTAGGATTAAAATAACAAAGTCATTTAGCTTTTTTTGTCGGGGTTTTCTCTTTAGGTGTATAACTGCTGCCTTTGTCGGCACTGTCTTGGGAATCACCCATTTTAAAAGTCAATAATAAACACAGACACCCTGCGTTTACAGTTCACCACACAGCAGAGTAAGACTACGCTACGACAGGACAAAACATCTTTACTGACTGAGTGAGAGAACAAATCTAATCACGTACACACATGCACATGGACACCGAGCAAGAGCGTTGAAGAGCGATGACATTAGGGCCACTTATTGCCATAGAGTGCGTTCCAAGTTTAAGCTCTGTCCCAGTAATAATAAATTTAATCAATTCTTAACAATTTACGAATGTGTTCAAGGCGGCCTGGACATTCCTTAACTATGCTTTGACGGACTGACGGACACACTTTTTAAATGCTGAACTGTCCGTCATGATGACGGACGGTTGGTAACCCTGGTTATCAACCATAGAAATCGAAGTCGCAGTCGAAGTGGAAGGTGGATAATTAGCAGTCGAAGTGTATCGAGAGAAATCAGCACTCAAAGTGGAATGTGTATCACCAAAACAAGTAGCTGGAATCACTTCATTATCAGCTAAAATAATTTCAATATTTTCAACCTAAAATAATTTAAAGTGTGACATTATTGTAATCACTAAAATAGTTTAAATGTTATAAAATAAAGTATATTAGAATGACTGTCGCATCATGTCAACTTAGAGCACTCAACATTATTTTTAAAGTACTTTGTCTAGAAGAATTGTTAGGTTAGGTGACTGTTTTTATAACTAAATAATCTACAACCTTCTATTTTTTGTAAAATAGGGCGACCATGTTTGTGTATATATTTATTTTTTAAACTTTGGATAAATTTTGTTATTCCTTTATTACTGTAATTCTTTTAAAAATTAATTGGCTGATATATCAAAGTAAATGTGCTGGTTATGCTTTATAATTTAATTACATCCTTCATTTGATCAAGAGCATCAGGTTGAGGCATATTTTGAGATTCTACATCTACACGTAATTCCTTAATTGCGGGAAGTCCTGTTATGACAACATTAGAAAGTAAACCAAGCAATCTCTGCTCTAGATCTGTTAAGTCTTTTTTTAAAACCAAAAATAAAGATTTTAGAAGATAAAATAGGACTAAACAGGGTGCAATACATTTAACATAACCAAACTTAATTTTCTTCTTTTCTTTTTATTAGGATTTTGACCTACTTTTTAACCTGGTTTTTAACATGTACGTTAAAAATTTGAAATTTAACTGTGCGTTATTTAGTTCAATTACGGAATAGCATTTTGGGTTAAAATTATAAAATTTTACGTACGGTTAATAACATAATTGAAACAGAATTACCAATAATGAGCCTTACATTATAATTATAATTATTTAGTCTATAATTCTTTAGTTTCCTCAATTTTTTAAATGAAAAACTCTATAAACTCGTATTATCAAGCGCTTAATTTTTTGAATAGAGGCAAATGGGGAAATTTTTTCTTTCGGTATACAATTAGCTTAAAATAAGCCTTATACTATGCCGTTATAATTTTTTAAATTGCTGACATTTTAATATCCCAAAATCTATAATAATTAACCACGAGGAAACGTCGTATAGAATATTTCTATCTTTAGATAACCTAACTTGCTTTAACTGTAAAAAAGCAGGACATAAGGCATCCAACTGCAGCGAACAAACGTTTAGTAATACTCCTACCTCTTCTCAACCACTCGCTAATCAAAACCCTATCTTGAATCAAATAGCCCCTCAAGAAGACAACGACCAGATCACTTTACGTCAGAATGAACCTACAACCAGCCAAATTTTAGCTCCAGACAACGAAAAACTAAACAGCAACTTACGAACAAATGTTACCTCAAATAAACGCTCTGCTTCCGCAATACTTACCCCTCCTCCACATCCTTCCGACGCTATATCAGATAACCTCTTCGTTACACCTCAAAATATAACTGTACCAAAGAAACTTAAGGCAATGACACCTAATAGCCAAATGCTCCAACCAGTTAAGCAATATATCGACGATCATAAGGAATTCATTCTTAATTTTGACCAACTTGCTAACCTACTCGATAATGTTCATGGTTCTCCAGACGCAATAATTGTAGTGAACGAATACACCACGGACTACCCAAGTCTAATCACTATGCTTGAATCTATTCATCCTTTATTACAAGACCGAACCATAAAAACAAGATGCACCAAACTGAAAAAGAAACTTATCGCCTGTCTCGGAAAAGAAGAAACAGAAAGCGACTGCTCCTCTCAGGACTGCTTTTAGACTTTTAAATTTAATTTATATAAATTTATTAACTTAGTTATGATTAAAAATATCCTCCAGTGGAACATTAATAGTTACTACCACCATATTGGCATGTTCCAGCTCTTACTTAAAGAAAATAACCCCGATGTGATATGCTTGCAAGAAACCAATTTGACACCCAATCATAGATGCAATGTAAAAAATTTTAACCTCTTTCGAAAAGATCGCATTAATCAAATCATCGCCAGTGGAGGGGTAGCGATTTTAACAAAACAACACCTTGAAGTAAAATCGTTGCCACTTCAAACCACCCTAGAAGCAGTAGCTGTTTCAATAAAGTTGTCTAACAATAATACGATAAATCTTTGTAACATTTACCTTCCACCAAATCAAAATGTAACCTCAAATGATTTAACAATCCTTGTTTCGAAATCAAAACATATCAAAACATTTGAAGCCGGTCCTGCGCGCCACACTTTGGGTGGTCCGTTGAATATATATAAAAAATCGTTGTAAACACCTGCTTCTTGGTCTACGTGACATTACCCTCGTGAACGGGCAAAACAGGATCACACCTGACTAGCCGGCACTATGCATTTGTTTCATCTGTCTCCCTCTATCGCTTTCTATCTCCCTCAACATATACGCAGCTAACCGAAAAAGAAGCGCACTTTTTAACCAGACACCAAAGCAAACAGACGTGTATTGAGTTCGCTCTTACACAACATAAAAATGTCATTTTGTAACTCACTTTTTAACAAGTCACCGACGCAAACAGACGTGTATTGAGTTCGCTCTTACACAACGTAAAAATGTTATTTTTTTTAAAAAAGTTTTTCTCAGCAAAGATAGTTTAGAATGTAAATAAATATGTAAAAAAGTTTTTGTAAATAAGTGTACTGAAGATTTATGAAGAGTCATAAATAAAAGGTGTTATCTACGATAATTTTGCGAGTTTTATTCCATAAGGAAATTACTACAGTCCATTAGCCGAAGCAGAGAAGAACCGAAAACTGTGTTGCTGCATACGTGGTTTATCAATTCAGGTAATCACGATCACAACAATCCTAATAAATCAAATACCTTCACCAAGAATTATTCTTGGTGATTTAAATGGACATAACATAATATGGGGCTCAGTTAAAACGGATGCAAGAGGAAAAATTATATGCGATATAGTTGACCATTATCAAATGTGCCTTTTAAATGATGGAACTCCTAAAAGATTCGATACTGCCACAGGAAATTCATCCGCCATAGACCTCACATGCTGTGATCCCAATCTTATGAGCAAAATTGCTGCGTGGGACGTACTCCCCCACACATACAGTAGTGACCACTTTCCAATTAAGATTTCATTCAGTGGAACACCAGACAATAAAATGTTTTGCCCAAAGTGGAAATTAAACTTAGCAGACTGGGATAAATTTACCTCCGAAATTGAAAGTAATATATCAAATTGTAAGCTTCATAATGATATAAATATTGGCTTACAAAATTTTACAAAGATGTTAATAAGCAGTGCGGAAATAGCAATTGGTAAAACTAAACATATTACCAGGCATTCTCCAGTACCATGGTGGAACCATCAATGCAAAGTAGCCATTACAGAGAGTAAGAAAGCCCTAAACAGATACAAGCGTTGTAAAACCATAGAAAATAAAATACATTTTAAGCGTCTAAAAGCTAAAGCTAACCTCACGATTAACACCGCTAAGACAAATTCTTGGAAACAGTACGTTTCCAGCATCACAAGCTCTACCCCTGTCACAGAGATTTGGAAGAAGGTAAAAAAAATTTCATCATCACACACAGCTCACAATATAGCCCAATTAACCGTGAACAACCAAATGTTTACGGAAAGTGGAGACATAGCAGAAATCCTTGCCCAGACATACGAAAGGTATTCAAGTAATGACAATTACGATGCAAGCTTCCTTTAACATAAAACTCTTGAAGAACTACAAACAATAGACATCTTAAATAGTGATGAGCCAATTAATGTACCTATTAATATGAACGAACTCGAAGAAGCCCTCAGTAGTTTGAAAGATACCAGTCCCGGACCTGATGACATCCCTTCCATCTTTCTCAAGAATCTACCCAAAATAGCGAAAGATTTTCTTTTAAAACTATACAATCAGATCTGGCTCAAACAAACCTTTCCTTCTATCTGGTCACATGCCATAATAATAATACCTATTCTTAAACCCAAAAAATCTCGATCAGACCCCTAATCATACAGACCAATTTCCCTCACATGTTCCACAAGTAAACTATTTGAAAAAATTATAAATAAAAGATTA